AGTTTGCTGTGCCTTTGTGGTCTGGCAGAGCAAGGGCGCCTGTTCAGAAGGAGATACGGAGGAAATTAAATAGAGGCAATGATGAACAAGGGTCTTAACACTTCATCAAATTCCCAACTTCAATGAACAAGTGAAGCATCTTCAGAGAGCTGCTTCTTCAGTCAGGGCTGACCCCTGCCTGAGGCCGTGGCTCCTCCAACAACCAAAGCTTCTCCTCCTGCCCTTGCTATCTGCAGTCCCTGGCCTTCAGGGGTTGCACTTTTGCTGATGAGAAATGCAGTGTCTGTAAAAGCAGTTTAGCTCTCAATGAACAAGACAGGGAAGGAGGTTTCTGCCCAGCTGATCCAGCCCAGGGAAAACCTGGAGTTAATGTGACAATCATCCTTCCTCTCCCTCTTCTGCAAGTCGCCCTCTTCACCCAGATTCATCATAGCACCTAAGTGCAAGCTTAGCTTCCAAGGATTGTGTCTAGGTTTACGCTCTGCATGGGTTATACTCTCATTTATCATCTGCTCAGCTCCTATGCCACACCACTGAGGAAGATCTCCCTGGGCACACATTCACAGCTGATGCAAGGAAGCAGCAAGACATCCCAGGGGTGGTCCAATGTGACATGGTTGTCATCTTCTGGGGTGAACACTGCCCCACATCTGACCACAGTGGGGTGAGAAACCATCTCCTGCAGGGCTGGTGGGATGGGTCAAGCCATGGAGGTGGGCCCAGGGCCAGCTCTGCAGGGTAAAACTCATTCCTCTTCCCTCCCCTCCGTGGTCTTTAGACAGGCACAGAAATGCCATTACAAGAACATTAACAACTGCAGGATTAAACACTCTAATGGCAGAAAATGAGAGTGTAAAGACAGCGCAGATAACCTTAACTCAGCCCCCTCGAAGGCATGCATTTTGATTGCTGTTTATGTATAACACTTCAGCCCGAAGCTAAATTAACTTGGGAGTTCACTGCCTCCTGCCCTGCTTGGTGCACGAGGCAAGCTGTGCTGCCACATGAAGAGAAATTGTATATTACATGGGTTTTGACCAAGTTATTAAACTCCATACCTTAGAGAGACAGAACCTCATCTTCGAAAAGTCTAAGTCAATAAAGACGGTTGGATCCTCCAACAGCGAAAACAGCAGAAGTGTGCAAGAACAAACAAATATTACTTGATGTGCACAAAACCTGCATGACATTGAATTGAACTATCAGAGGAAATGGCTGTTTTCATAAACACAAATACACCCTCACCAGGATGGGTCATCTGATTTACCTGCTCAGCATTGCCACCTCCAAATCCCCTTAACAGGTTACCTTTAAAGAATGGCTCTGTTTAAAAGTGGCTTTCATCTATAGCCTGCCCACAAGACCTCTGTCCTACCTGCCCAGGAACACCACCTGCATCTCTGGTGACAAACATCCATTTGGAAGATGATGGAAACCTTTTCTGTTTCCTTCTGCCACTTCCCAGAAAGACCCTTCGCAACCACATTTCCTTTGGTCCTTACAAGCCCATGCCTATTGCTTTGGGCGTGCCATCCATTGTGAATGAAAAGGAGAGGATTTTGATGGCAAAGTGCCTGATTTATAGATGAGAGAAGAAAATCCCACCCATTTGCACCTGCTAATCAAGGTGCTATCCATCTCATTTATGCCACTGCTCCAGCAAGCCTGACAGCACAGAATCAGAGGCTGTTTCTTCCAGCACTTGGCCCTAAGGGACCGATTCTCCAGCAGGTCTCTTAAGCAATGCCCACAGAATGTGCAAGTGAATCAGTTTTGTGCATACAAAGCAGGTAATTGTGCTCACAAATCAGGATTTGCATATGCTGCTGGAAACAGATGCTCTCATCAATGTTACCAGTGCTGGGAAGGGAGGCCAGGGAAAAAGCGCTCCTGAATCTTACACAAGAGGTATCCCAGTGCGTGGTACAAGTGGTGGCACTGGCAATGTGCTCCACATCTGTCCAAAATGCACAGAGTGAGGAGAGTTGATGGCAAGTCCCAGAAGATGACAAACCTTTCCCTGTTCTCATTCCAAGCACCAGTCAGCTCCTGCCAAGAGGATGGGGCATTTTGGCTGAACCTCTTCAGCCAAGGACCACATCCTGGCCCTGGTGAGCTATCTGTCCCATCTGATGTGGCGGCTGGGGCATGGCCACTGTGTCTCATCTGCAGGGGGAAGACCTTCAGCAGCATCCATTTATGTCTGTATTTACAGTCAGTCATGTCAGATCAATCAGCTTGCCTGTTTCCAAGGCAGGGGTGAAGGAGAAAGATGGTATTTTGCTCACGTGCAGATGTTGGTGCTCCCTCTGACAAGCTCTGACGAGCTGGTGCTTTGCAAAGAGGGTTTGAAATCTGTCAGGGGGGCAGCAATCATTTAATTAAAGAGTGAGTCACACGGTGAAGACACAAGGGAAGGCAAATTAAGGTCAGGCAAGCAAAATGTATTTTGGCATTTCCTAGCGTTTAAGAGCCTCTGCTTTCACGGCGGATTATTATTCATACTGAAGCAGTACTTGGTGGCTGGAGTCATGAGTAAGCACATTGTACAGACAGATCTTACATAAAACTCCAACCCAAAAAGAGGTTTACAGTGCTGGGAAGGGGTAAGACCCAGCAGACAGAGCATCGCTGACCTGGGGGGCCCTGTCTAAACATGTGCCAAGAGCCTGTGGCAATGCCACTAGCATTGAGTGCTGCCTGCAGAGGTCTGCTTACCTTGGAGCAAGGAGGCTTTGGGACAAGGCTGTATCCACACTACCATGGAATTAAGCTAAGTCAAATAAGCTGTAAATGTGCTGGAGGACCTCAAACCTGGCTGTGCTGCTCTCCACAGAGAAGCTCTCCTGCTTCTCTTCCTGAAGGAGAAACCTTCAAGACTTTTATCCTCCAGAGAGGACAAACCCCAGTCCTCATGGACGCTTCACCCAGCCTGAGAGGACAGAGGGCAGGGGAAAGCCTCAGTACGCATCACTTGGGATGCTCATGGAGGTGATGAAAATCCCTGACCTGAAAAGGTTGAAATTCAGGCAGGATTTATGTCCCATAGTAAAACCACAGGCCTGCCTCTCTCGTGGTGATAAAAATAAATCACCCTTAAAACCAGAATGACATTAATAAAAATAAATCTGAGAATACATGCAGTGTATCATGGAGTTACAGTCTGCTCCAGCCCGGCACGGGAACCCCTTACCAGCCAAAGGCAGGTCAATGGTGACGTGTGTAAGTAGTGCTTGGGGTTATGTCCTAGGATAGGGTGCCAAATAGGCACTTCCAGAGGTGTAACTTTCAGTGGGTGGTTGCTCAGCTCTTGCGAAGTTTGGACCTCTTAAGGGGGGTTGTAGATTTAGGCTCTGGAAACCAGCAGCCCCACTGGCCAGACCTGCTCTATCCCTGCGCATCCAACCGACAGAGACAGGAGAAAGATCTTCCTTTATTCCACATGAAAACTCTGTGGCTGGAGAATAGGGGAAGAAGCCGATCGACAGCTTTCAGGTGAGGAAGCTGAAGGATCAGATGAAGGCAGTTCTGCCCTTGGCTTCCATCATGGATAAGCAGGGAGGATGGGAACCAGGGATGGGAACCGTAGAGCAGCTGGCGAGGTTCAGATCCAGTACAGCACAGAGCAGAGCACCTCCCGGGCTAAGAAGCATCCCTCCCTTCCCTACAAATGAGATCTGACACATCCTGCTCAAGCGTGGGGCATCCAGCAAGAGTGACAAGCTGCTCCTGTGAGCTGGGGATGGAGGGGGAGTGGCAGCTGGGATGGCATAGGAAATAGCCGCTCCTTGCAGCAGAGGCCATGTGAGGATTAAACCAGCACTGCTCAGTGCCAAGGATGGCATAGGGGGGCTCTTCCAAAGGGGAAGTCATGGTCTGGCTCCATACATTTCTGCTGCAGGCAGAGCTTTTTCCTCTCTCCTTCTCCTGTGATTGAAGGGAGAGCTGAATGCATCCTCGCTCTGTCACTGAGGTAGTTGCATTTTGCCGATGCCTGAAACAACCCTTCTGCTCTGTGACATCTGGATGAGAAGAGCCTCCTCCCACACCATCTCCATCTGCCGGGGTGGCTGCTGTCACCTCCCAGCCCTCATTGGGACTGTAAGTGATGCCCAGGGCTCATCTACATGGGAAATTCATCCTGAGTAACCATCCTGCAGCATCAGTGTCTGTCAGTGCCTCCGTGCAGACAAGCCTTGAGGAGCAGGAGTACTAAGAAGAGAACATTCCTGAGCAAGAAAACATTTATTAGAGCATGTTCAGTATTTGCATCGCAGCTGAGCAGGGAGGGATGAGAACAGGGTCCCCTCTGCCAGCCCACAGTGCATTCATGACGGATTTCTTCCTCTCAGGATGCTATTAACAGCACAGTCCGTGGCAAGTGGGAGGCTTAGAAAAGGTCTTCTCTGTGAGCCATCTCCCTCCAAACCCCTGGCAAAACCAGAAACCAACATCCCTGCTTGCAGCCATGAGCCTCCTACACAAACACACAGTGAAAAGACCCATGCAAGGTCCTGTCACGAGTCCTGCTGAGACATCACCTCCCAGGGGCCAGCCATTGGCTGGGCTCACACAAACTTATTTCCACTCATGCAGACCCCCTGCCCCCATTCACTAGTTGTACATTTGCTGTTTAATATGTTCCCAGCTCACTGCAAAAAACCAAAGGGATGGAGATGGGGAAAGCTCACAAGTAGGGTTTCCAAACTGGACAGCAAAATAGCACAACTTACAAGCAGATTAACTCCATGTGTCTGCAGCTGCCACACCAAAGAAGTGACAGCTCCACCATTTCAAATTCCCATCTTTGTGCCCATCTTCTTTACACTTTGCTGATGGGGTTCATCACCGGGTGACCCTGCTGGTACCTTTTGGACCTTCGTACCCAAAACCAGGCTAAAGCAGAGGTGAACCAAGCACATGTCGAAGTACCCACAGACAAACCTCCCTCACATCTCCAAGCTTCCCAAGGTCTTCACTCTTCCTCAAGCCTCCCTTACCTGTCTCCTGGTCACACAGCTGCTCACAGGCATCGGTGGTCCTCTGGCCACAGAGGTCTCTCACCCAGGGGGACGTGGCATTGATCTGATAGTACAGGGACAACTTGGCTGGATTAAGCCAGTCGGAGATGTCCAAGTAGCTCCCCTCACTCACAACGAAGCTGCTGCCTGGAGGGTGGGAAAGGAGTGTGTTAGGTGAGTGTAAGAATCTAAAAAATAACTCAAAACCAACATAAAACCCCACCAAACATGCATTTTGGCCTAATATCAGAACACTCTACTCTTCAGGAGCTGCTATGATGTCAAGATTAGCGAAATACCAAGTTCACCAACACTCAGACCCAAAGAACTTCATTTGACCATTCCTCTCCATATGAACATGCCCCAGCAAATGGTCCACCAGCTTGGACACTCTTCTGCCCAGTCACTCCCCTGTCCTTAGCACTACCCAGCATCACAAGATACAGGATTTGATTCCAAAATCTCTGCAGAAATGTGTACCAATGTAATTAATCTGATTCATAAGATCAGAGAATCACATCCCCAGCACATGCAGGTGGTGTCCATGAGGATGCCAGGCTCAGAGTGCAGATGGGCAGTGGCCGCATGGGCTATTCCCACTTCACTTCCATAGTTGAGGTGAGGGAATTGCCCCAATACACAACATCTTATATGAGTGGTCTCGTATCAGAGACACTCCCAAGAGCCAGAAGTGAATTCCTGCCAAAAGTATTTTCTTACAAAATCACATTTCTTTATTTTGTGAAACGTTCTTTTTCCCCACCGGCATCTGGGAATATGCATCATCTAATTAGCCAAATAGATTTTCAGTTCAGCCCAATCATTTCCTTATCTAACATCTGAGGCCTAGCTTCGCTCGGGGGATTTTGCAGGCACAGAGGTCCTCATTAACTCTGATCTTCAATTACATTGATTATAAGACAGCCTCCATAATAGGGCCGCATAGATCAGAGGGGAGCAAAAATACCTCTGCCATTAAGTGGTGTTTTGCAGAAGTTACCAGGGTAAAAGCCTTTCAGAACAGGGAAGAAGAAGCCTTCAAAGAGAAGTGGGCAAGGGGAACAACCAGATAGCCCAGGAGCCCACAGCCACCCTTCCACTTGCAGATGTGGGCAAAATTTGCAACCACTATCTGCAGATTCAAATCTTTCTTAGTGATTATCCAAGGATGGCAAGTCTATAGATCCAAGGCATATTTTCATGAAACCTTAAGGCTTGTATTGCGTAGTAAAGGACTGGGACATCATTTTTCTAGGCACCACAGAAGATCTTAGCTCAATGAAAGCCAAGAGATTCAAAAAGCAGCATAAAACCCCACAGTGGTAACCACCCCACATGAACCTGCTTGAACACAACCTCATGATTTCCTTCTGAAGAGAATCGCTGGTGCTTTAACAAGAAGTACTAAACCTCATCCTGCACCATGCTATCCATGCAAAGGATAAAATAAGCAGAGCCTGAAGTCAAGCATCCCAGTGAGAAACTCCATTTTCAAGCACCCCAAGATCTCAGCACCACACAAATCTGGGCCCTAATTTCCCATGAATTCAAGTCTTCTACACTTACACTGTTTATACACCACAAACATATTCACAGCCTCATTTCTACACTCAAAACTGATGGAAGCTGCAAAGCTATTGACTGTTCAAGCAAATGGAAATTAGACTTCCCAGATCCAGCTGCTCTGGAGATCCAGCAAGACAGGAGCCTGCATCACCAAGGCTGCAGGATACACCTCAATCAGATGCACAACAGCAGTAAACTGCTGGGTAAACTCCACACCACCAGTGGAAAGCACTGAGATGCTGAGCACAAAGAAGTACCTTAGAACCACATCATTTTCTCTCTAGTAATCATTCTTTGCCACGAATATTGAAAGAGAGCTTGAAATACCAATGCTAAGCTATTGCTGATTTATTTTACCAAACAGAAATGCAGCGTGAACCCATTGAGTATGTTTACTATTTACTATGAGGTAACCTGTCAGTCTTCCTTCCTTCTTTATTTGTGCAGATCCCTAATAAAGTGTGAAGCCTGGGAGGCATGTAAGCACATTTTGAGGCTCAGCTACAGACAACTCCCTCTGCACCCAAAGACCGAAGAGCTGAAGCAATGGCTCTAGATTAAATCCCTACTTAATGAACCCCACTTCTACTTAAAATACAGCCAGCCTGAAAGCCACAGAGGCAATTCAGACCTAAAATAGTCATAGAATTAGTATTCATCAAGATGAAGATGACTCAAGCTGGCAGAGGATCCTGAAGGGGATGGACTATGCAGACGGGAGGACCCCGAGCCGGGGTAGGCAATGGAGGGGTGACCTCTGGAGATCCCCAGCAACCCCACATGCTGAACATCCCAGCAGGAAGAAGCCCATTCATGGCCCTGCTGCCAAATCTTTATTTCCTTGGAAAACCCTATTTGCTGCTGTATTAAAAAAACCCAAAACCCAATGACTATGTATTTATGGAAGTACCTCCTAAATCCACACCAAAATCTGACATCTGGTCAGGAGCCTGTAACTTCTCTTTCAGCAGAGGTTTGGTATCCATGGAAAACCATGGATTTGAGAAGCTTGGAATTATCTGTAAATTGATCACGCTTTGCCATATTCTATAGAAAAAAACCTTCCCAAATATAATGCACCCATCACTTAAGAAGACAAGTCCTGGTGTTTTCATTTTGATAAGTCTGACTGAGGAATCACCCTCCATAGCAAAAGTTTTAAAAACTAAGCCAAAACCAGCAGGGAAAATGTTTGAATCCAAAATCCCTGAATTCAAGTTCTGCACTGGGTCTACAAGGATGCTGGAGAGGGGCTCTTCATCAGGGACTGTAGTGATAGGACAAGGGGTGATGGGTTTAAACTGAAACAGGGAAAGTTCAGGTTAAATATAAGGCAGAAGCTCTTCCCTGTGACGGTGCTGAGGTGCTGGCACAGGGTGCCCGGAGAAGCTGTGGCTGCCCCATCCCTGGCCATGTTCAAGGCCAGGTTGGACAGAGCCTTGGGCAACATGGTCTAGTGTGAGGTGTCCCTGTCCATGGCAAGGGGTTGGAATTGGATGCTCTTAAGGTCCTTTCCAACCCAAACCATTCTATGATTGTATGATTTTAAGTTCAATGTAAAATGGAGGCTTTTCTACTTCAGCATAAGGACAAAACCCAAACCTGGGGAAATTAAAGGTTTTAGTTAATTGTAGACACTTTTCTTCCTTCCTAGGAGGAGCGAGGGGACAATCTCCAGCCAGAAACATTCTCCCATCTTTAAAGCTGAGTGTTGCAGCTCAGCTGGATAAGACCTTGAGAGATGTACACAGACACTCGCATCACCTTCACTTCCATTGAAAACACAAACATCCCAACCCTGATCCCTTTATAGCTTGCCTGGGAAAAAAAAAAAAAAAAAGCAATAAGAAAAGATGGTTTACAAATATTTTGAAAGCTAAAATTAGGAAGATTTTAAAGCCTTTTCACACCATTTTTCCTCTTTATTTTCAGAGAATCTGAACACAGAAAACAGTTTTCAAAAGTCACCAGCACACACTCATGAAAAACATCTTGAAGAGCTCAGAAAGGGCAGGCTGAGTATCAAATCCTTTTAGAAACTACCATGAACAAACATTTTCCAAGCAAGTGCTGCTTCAAACATCTTTAGCTTGCTGGGAATAGCAGCCAGGTTTGTTTTCACCAACGTGCAGTCTGTCAATGGAAGGAAATCAAGAGGATGGAAGGGGGTGATGGGGATCCCAAGGGGCTCACATGGCCAGAGTAGACCTGGCTCCACATCACCCTCTGAAAACCCGCCTCAAGGACCCCAGACCCCACCAAACTGCCCCCACACTTAGCAGATCCACTCTCTGAAGACACTCAGAGAGACCATCCACCCAGCTGTCCTCTGCTGCCAACCCCATCCCCTCGCTGGTGTCTGTCAAGACACAAGTTTTGAGCTTCCCATTCAAAAGCTCAGTGAAATCTCCCTTAAACAGAGACATGGTCTCAGGGTAAAGCAACCATCAACCAAACAAGGGAATACAGCAACAGAACAGCAGCTCTCCACCCATAACCACCACCTCACACATCCATCAAGCGCTATTGGCTTTACACCATAAAGCAGCATCACCGCATCATGGAGAACATCAGTACTCAGCTACATAACTGCCTCCTGGCTCCACAAGGTCTACCAGCACCTCGAGGGACTGATTTGTTTGGCTTTGTGTGTGTGTGTGTTTCCCCCTCACCCCCTTCCTTCGACACTGATCAAAGCCAGATCAGTTAAGGCAGCATCAAAAGTTCATATCTTTCATGCTGGGGTCTCCTTCGAAGTTCAGTGGAACTGCTTAAGCCTTGACAAAAGAGGCTTGAAGTTTTGACATCTCAAAAATCATTTTCCAGAACACAACAGGATAAAACAGCTCAGAAGAGATAGCTAACAAGGGGAAAGAACAAAGCACCCAAAAGGCAGCCAAGAGAGTTTGGCTTTTCCTTTCTCTCTCTCTCTTCCTTTTCAAGAGAAAAGATCAAAATATGTTTTTTTTAAGACTTTCTATTTCTTCCTCCCTCTGCTCTTTCTGTCTTTGGTCCATTCACTGTTTCTTGGCCAACAAAACTCCTTTTCATCTAATATTAGCATTGTGTGCTGGAAAGCTATTGGAGGTCATACTACAGGTTGCTATTAATGTATCCATCCATCTACCATCATAAAATTATAATCCTGCCACAGATATTTTCTTTAAACACTAGAGGAAGGATTATCCCCCTTGCTCTGTTCTATAGGTAAAAAGAGCAACCCTATTTGATTTCTTTGGAGACCTTTTTTATTTTCCTTGTTAAACTTGAAAGAATATTTCCCAAAGAGACAACTCCTCCCCTATCAGCTCTTTGCATTGATCAGCTCTCGCTCTCCTGTCCTGGTCTTAAATTTCTTTCAGACAATGCAGAACCACTAGATAGATGTTGGATGCCCAGGACACACTTACACTGACCTAAGGAAGACAATCAGGCTTGCTGCAGGATTGCACCCACACTCTAATAGGGTAGGCAATCATAGAATCAGAGTGGTTTGGGCTGGAAAAGACCTTAAAGCTCCTCCAGTTCCAACCCCTGCCACGGGCAGGGACACCTTCCACTAGAGCAGGTTACTTCAAGCC